AATATTCCAACCGTAAGTACCGCAACGAAAGCACCACTAATATCCTTACTAAAGTTAGTCAATAGTTTGAATATATCAATAGATCTTGATTGGACACTTTCCCAATCAGCATTCCGCCAAAAAATTTTGGAAAATATGTTAAATTTACCTATTTAAGCAGTATTTCCCTCTACAATTCTGGTACATATTTTATTATTTTATTATTTTTATATATTCATAAGTATTTCAAGGATTATATGAACTTTAATTTTTTTATCCATGTAATTAGGCTGTAATAGCTTGTGTGGATAATAAATAAATAAATAAATCTCTCACAGTGTTCATTACTTAATTTCTGCTTCACAGTGGAAAAGTGAGAGATTAGGATACGATACACATTCTTTGTTCTGATAGTTAAATACTAAAAAGTCAACTCTTCCTTGCGAAGTGTAAACCAGTGCTAGTGCACACTCCCTACATCGCCAATTATATTGTTTTTGTCAAAAGTAGAGTGTAGCCAAAATGTGTGCACTTCTTCTCTATTAAACATTAATTGTGGAAACTGCAAAACAAATCTAGTCAAGTAGAGAATAACAGTAAAAGAATAAATTCTGATTGCTCAACAACTTCCATGCTTGAAATGAATAAACATAACGTTCAAAATATCGACCACTCTTTCAATTGAAAGAAATATGATGTGACTGTAGGCTGTCCTGTTATTTTGGCTACAAAAGGAATTCACAAAGGATTTAAAGAATGGAATACCCAGTATAGCTGTATAACTTTTCCAATATCTAATGGTTTCGACTGTTTTTGGACGTTTATTTACTTTCGAAAAGTTAAACGACATCGACAGTCAGAATAGTATGGAACGCCGTTTTACTTTTTATTGTCACAAATATTCATTCCCCAATTTATTTATTTTGATGTTTGTCACAAAATCACTTCCAAGGATAAGTGGAATGGAATACTCCGAATTTTAATTCGGACATATCTCATTTTGTATTTTTTCAATTTTTCTGTTCGACTCAAGTCTTATTCATTATGCCAAAAAAGTGTTTTTCAATGTAAAAATACATCTCATACATTGAAAAAATGTATCTATATCACTGTAGATCAACTGTTAGATCAGATTGAAGATTCTGTTCTGTTTCAAAAATCTGTTTTTTCTGTTAACCAGCTGTCGCACCCCTACGAACGACAATCCTCAAAAGTCTAAACTTGTGCGAGCTGAGAATTAACGAGGTCTTACTTTTTAACGTGTGATAATATTGATGAATATCTTTTTATTCGACTTAATTTTCATGGCATTCTGGATACTTGTGACAATATGAATTCTCAATCAATTATTTTGTTTATTATTTGTAAAGTTTTCTCCACCGTTTTCTACAGTCAATCTCAGAACATAATGATATTTTAGGTACATTTTCGCGCTTATTTGAAACTGTTGATGAGGGTCTTTATTTTTATATTTTCAATGAATGTGTGATCCCGTACAAAAATATTGTTACGTTTTTCCCCGTGGGTTGACCAATAATTGACTCCACATCAGAAAACA